TTTGGGTGGCGGAGGGGGGACTTCCACTGTGTGCACTTCTAGAAATCCATTAACAACTACTGTTTAACCCCTTCTGTCTGCTGTACTTTTACAGATTATATTAAATTCATAATGGCATCCTCCCCCTCCCCCCGGTTTTTTACTTCCCATCCTATAAAGTCTACAGAAGAGTGTAACGCATTCCGTGTCCGTGGTTGCTGGACTTTAATAGCTTAATATGTTGTCAGTGATGATGTCAGGTTCATTGGTATTGGGTATTAGCAGTAGTACATAGTGCAGAAGTAAAATGTGTAAACACACTAAATACCCTGTTGGATGGACTGAATACCTACCTCATGATGCAAACATCCAATTAAAAAAACAGGCTTGGACACAACATCAGTTGCTAGTTTCAGTCTTGTTTTTAACTTTGTTTTTAGCTATAGCTTCAACATCCATTCATCCCTTGTCTAAACTATACCTGTTCATCCTTGAGGCAGCAGGGGTGTACACCCAAGACAGGTCTCCAGTCCATCACAGGCCAACACACAGGGATCCAAAGTCTTTCAGTTGTAAAACCAGTCTGTTAGAAGGAATTTTAAGTCTGTTAATATCTGTGAAGGTCACGTGTATCCCCAGCTTTAGGTATAGATCAACCTCAGGGTTTGTAGGACTTGCCCACATGAAATTAGAATATTCTTAAAATGATCTTTATTCAAAGTTAAAACCTTTTTTATTGAGGAACTTAAACTTAGTGAAGCTCACTTTATTAATACCATGCAACATTCAATTTGGATGGTAACTGCTGCTGTATAAAAAGGAAATGTTAGCAAAAAAAGAATATTTCCCTCAGCAGGCAAGATGTGGTTTATTTGTTTCAGGATGGTTCAACCCATGTCTTTGTGGGAAGAGGAATTATCTTTCATTCAAATTCAAAAATACTTTATTAATCCTAAAGGGAAATTGAATGCTTTTGTAGCTCATATTATGCAGGTTTCTTCAAAGAGCCGTTTTAGATGCTGATGGCTGTGTGCAGGAAGGATCTCCTGTAGCGGTCTGTCTTACAGCAGATTTGAAGAAGCCTCTGACTGAAGACACTCTGTTGTTGTACAACAGACTCATTAAGAGGATGCTCAGGGCTCTCCATAATGTTCTTCATTTTATGAAGAATCCTTCTTCTCCAGAGGTTCCAGAGGAGTCCCCAGATCAGAGCCAGCTTTCTTTATCAGCTTGTTGAGCTTTTTTAAATCCCTGGCTCTGATGCTGCTTCCCCAGCAGATGATGGCAGAAGAGATCACACTCTCCACAACAGACTGATAGATCTGCAGCATCTTGCTGCAAACACCAAACGTCCCAAGCTTCCTCAAGAAGTACAGTCTGTGCTGTCCCTTCTTGCAGACGGCTACACAGTTGCATCTCCACTCTAGTCTGTTTTCCAGATGAACACAGAGGTATATATACTCCTCCACCACCTCCACTTCTTCTCCCATGATGGAAATAGTGTTTGACCTTTTCCTGTTTCTCTTAAAGTCTATAATCATCTCCTTTGTTTTATTCACCTTCAAGATGATTGTTTCCACACCATGCCACAAAGCGGTCCATCAGCTCCCTGTACGCATCTTCTTGTCCATCTCTGATCCACTTCATGACTGCAGAATCATCTGAGTATTTCTGTAGATGACAGGAGTCTGTCTTGTACTGGAAAGAAAATAATGAATCAGAAGGAAAAGCAACAGAGCTTCCCAACCTGCTGCCATCTTGAGCGGCGCAATTCTAGAATCTTAAATCATAAAATTCATACCTTCTGCACCGTTTTAAGGTTAACTGTAAAAAAAAAAAAATTCCCCCAAAACATTATAGCGCCAATTCACAATACATGTCGTCTCAAGGCACTTTACAAAGTCAGTTCAATTGAATCATACAGATTTCAAGTCAGTAAATATATTATAATTGATCATGGTTATCAAACAGTGCAGTCAAGTTCAGTTTATTCAAATTGAATAAAATGTTTTTCTATCTAAGGAAACCCAGTAGATTGCATCCAGTCAGTGACTTGCATCATTCCCTCATCCCGGATGAACATGTAGAGACAGTGGACAGTCACTGGCGTTGACTTTGCAGCAATCCCTCATACTGAGCATGCATGTAGCAACAGTGGAGAGGAAAAACTCCCTTTTAACAGGAAGAAACCTCCAGCAGAACCAGAACCAGGCTCAGTGTGAGCGGCCATCTGCCACGACCGACTGGGGGTTAGAGAGAACAGAGCAGAGACACAAAGAGAACACAGAAGCACTGATCCAGGAGTACTATATAAGTAAGAGAAAAGTAAAATGCTAAATGCAGTAGGAGTTACTTCAGTGTCTTCATCTAGGAGAGAAGAACAACTAAACTGTCAGAAAGGGCTCTTAGGACCCAAATGCAGTCAGGCAGGCAGGAGCAGATCAGTGAATTAAAAAGGTTTAATAGCAGAAACAAAATCTTAGAGCTTATCATGATATAGTTGGAACAGGCAGGGACAAGAACATCTTGGCATGAGTATAGCAGTATTGGACAGGTGTGGCATGGCCAACAGGATAGCCCAGCAAGGAGTAAACAGAAGAGATGCGTATAAATTTGAGCATGGCACAGGTGAAAACAAGTAAACTGATAGACATGGAGCAGGGCTGACTGTGGCAGGTAGTGGTAACTAAAACATGAAAGAACTGAACAGAGATGCAAGGAAATGAATAAGTAAGAAAACCTAAGAAAAGAACTAAGAAAGCACCGCCTGGAGAATATAAAACAGTCATGATCCAAGATCCAAAAAATAACTCAAAAACCTACAAATCATGACAAGCAGATAGGCTATAAGCCAGTTTTCAAGCCTAGAGAATAAAAGAGAGCACATATAGTTAGTCACAGTAGAAGCTCAGCCAGTAGCTATGTCAGTGAGAGACAGGGTTAAACACTGAAAGACAGGTCCAAGTGGATCATCTATATAAGGTGAGCATTAAGTTGTTGGCAGCAGTTTCCCAGCCGATGCCCCCTTCCAGCTGTGCCACAGCTAAACACAGAGCCAGGTCAAGTGTGGCTTCTAGAAAGAGAACAAAACCGAAAGAGAACATTAAAAGTTGAAATATGCTGCATTCTGTATAAGCGCACTGCAGTGCAGATCTTGTCTTGCAGATGGTAGAGAGAAGCAATGGAACGGAAAGGATTTTCAGGCACATTTTGACTATGGATCTGGAGCATTTATTTCCCAGAACCTTAATTTACCCTGCTTGTTTTTTCTGCGAGCCTTACCTCTGTGGAATCCAAAACATCTTTACTTCAGCAGATGCGTGTGTTGAGCGGTCTGTCTCACTGACTGAGAGTGGGAGACAGAAGCTCCCATGGTGGACTTGATTTTCAGCAAGAAAACTACACTCAAAAAAATCTTAGGATCAGATCATAAATCCATGCTGAAATGGATTGGGTAATGTGTTAGGAACAAAAGCATGCACCATCATTTGATGAAAATGATCAACCCACAGAGGGTTTAATCTGAAGTCACTAAGAAATTTTAACTGATAAACTTATGGTGCAGGCAGGTCCAATTTGCTGAAATGACATTGGAACAACTCAAAACGGCACTCAGTAGTTTGTAAGGCCCCACATGCTTTTATACATGTCTGACAACGTCAAGGCATGCTCCTTATGAGTTGATGGGTGGTGTCCTGGGGTATCTCCTCCCAGATCCTGACTAGGACATTACTGAGCTCCTGGACAGTCTGAGGTGCAACCTGGTGGAGTCAGATGGACCTAAACATGATGTCCCAGAGATGTTCTATCGGATTTAGGTCAGGGGAGCGTGGAGGCCAATCAATGGCATCGATTCCTTCATCCAACAGGAACTGCCTGCATACTCTTACCATGTAAGGCTGGGTATCATCATGCACCCGGAGGAACCCAAGACCCCCTGCACCTGTGAAGGGTCTAACAATGGGTGTAAGGATCTCATCACAATGTTGCAGGCAGCATAATGTTCACCACACTGTCATCTGCAGGGCAATCCTCTTTGCCGTTTTGCACCTGGAGTACCATGCTGAGATCTAGTGCACCAGTACAACACAGCTCATCATCTTTATTTAATAATGAATGATATAAAGAATTCTGTGGTGAATTCTGTTTTGTAATCTTGAGGTTAGTTTTTTGAGTCAATCTAGAATTTGAGGACAATTTAGCCATCAAAACTTTTTAAAAATCAACCATTTCATTTACAATTTTCAGTCATGTATTTAAAATAGATGTTCTTTGTGTTCTCTTGATAGTATGGGTAGAGAAATACATGTAGTAAAAGTCTGAAAAGATTGAGAATAAAAGTAAAACAAAAGAGAGGGTGACCTTAGGTGGTGGGAGCTCATGGCTGGACCACATCATCTCCTGTGTGTGATGTGACTCACTGTTGTTTCTCCTCTCTTGCTACTACTATAGTAACATTTAGTCACAGAAGTACAATAAGAACAATTATACTTTACAGGAGGGGTTCCCAAGGTGGGGTTCAGGACACCCAGTCATCGTGATGTGACCCCTGAGGTGTGAGGAGGGCCAAAAGGGTCAAAATTAAATAAATAAATATACAGAAAATAAATGCGCCATTAAATGTCCCATTAAATAATTTAATGTACCATTTATTTATTTACTACATTATTAAATAATAAAATATACCATTAGATTATAAAATGTACAATTAAACTATTGTATTTCTTAAATAATTAAATATAGATTTTAAATGATGAAATTCAGTCAGTCAGTCATTTTCTATACCGCTTCTTCCAAAAATGGGTCGCGGGGAAGCTGGTGCCTATCTCCTGCAGTCTATGGGCAGGATGCAGGATACACTCTGGACAGGTTGCCAGTCCATCGCAGGGCAACAAACAACTTAAGGGCAATTTAGAGAGACCAATTAACCTAACAGGCATGTTTTTGGACTGAGGGAGGAAGCCGGAGTACCCGGTGAGAACCCAAGCATGCACGGGAGAACATGCAAACTCCATGCAGAAAGACCCCTGGCTGGGATTCGAACCCAGGGCCTTCTTGCTGCAAGGCAACAGTGCTTAAATGATGAAATTAAATGATTAAATATCATTTAAAAATATATATTTTCAGGGTCACAGGCAGAAATGTTTGGGAACCCCTGCTTTACAGGGCAGGTGAGTGTGAATGTATTATTTATTAGATGTTTTATGGGAGAGACAGAAAATGTCCTACAATTCTGGACTAGATCATATATAATTTTAGAACCTGGTAAAAGCTTGTTTTACACATTAGAGCCATTGGGCTGACTGAGAGTGTAATTTCGTTTTAACTTGACTGTAAGTCTGGCTGTTAGCTCAGGAGCAGGCAAACTGCACTATATATTACTCCATATTACTCAATATTACTCCATATTAGCTTCTGTGCCATTGCAGTTTAAAAACTGAATCAACTGGAAGTTTTATAATAACCAGAACATTGCCTGTCTAGGCAAAATGTCCCCTGGTGAAAATCACCCTAGTTTCATCTATTGAAATATAACAGATATTCAATTAGCTGCTTTCAGTTAAAAAAGTAGATCAGATAGAAAAACAGGGTTTGATATTCTCTGAAATTAAAAATATATAGACTCTAAGTTGCTTTCTGATTGGTCTGCATGTGTGTACACGGCTTTCACATCTGGTAACCGTCATTGTTTCTCTGAGTGGTTGAGGGTCCTTGCATTAAACATCTGAATTGTGAGTGCATCCACTGAGAAAGTGCTGGTAAAGAAATCTGCTCCTGATCTGGCTATGGAGACAAAAAGCAGGTTGAGAGATTTATTTTCAGAGGGGGAGCTGCTCTGAATAGACTGGAGGTAGGTGTTTTGCTGGTTGACTCTGTGAGTAGGGAAATATCTACATTAGACTGAATCCAGGTAAATAGTCGTGGAGTCTGTGCATGAGCCAAGGCGTGGCTGCAGAGGTGGATGAGAATATGTTTGCAGTAATGAGGATACCTTAACGCTAAAGCCTGATGAGTACCACATGATTCATGAACTGCCTTTATCTAAAGTGTAAACAAATGACCACATGCTGTGGAAGTCTGATGAGTCACGGGTGTGGTGAAACATGAGTCACAGGAGCCAACTCCAGCCAACCATAGCTGAATCAGAGCAGACAAACAGTAAATGAAAAGAACAGGTGGAAGAGGACAGGAGAGGTGCTACTACATTCTTCACATATGCACACTTGTTTCCCATTCTTCATGTATTGGACATTTCTCAGGCACACACATATTCACACACTGATGCACAGATTGGTAGGAAACTCAGTGTTAAGTGCCCTGCCCAAAGGTACACAAACATGTGACGTAAGACTGAAGCTAGAATCTAGCCCACAACTTTCCGATTGCAAGACAACTCTTCACACTAAGCCACAGCCTCCCCTTCTCAGTGCTGCATTTGATAAAGTATTATTTTATGGAGACTTGAGCATGAAATCAAGGGAACAGGACAAGAGTGGTTCAGATCATATTGTTTGACGCACTCATCCCAAGCTTTTCCTGTTTTGGGTCAGTTAGGATTAACAAAATTATTTCTGTTAGGTATTTGCTAAATTATTACAGAGATTTATTAAGAGAATTTGTAGTACTGGATTTCAAATTAGCTTACCTTTAAACAAAATTTGGCAAAGTCCAGATGATTACATTATATGACTTTGTAAGATTCTCAAATCTTAAATCACAGCCTGTGAGTTAAATAGAAGCATATCTGTGGATGTATTTTAAGACACCTTGAACTCATTGGTTCTTCTAAAGACATCAGCCAAACTATCAGGAAGAAAACTACAATCTGGTACAATTTCCAGATGCCTGAAGGAGCAGCTTCAAACAATTATGTGCAAGTATAAACAGCATGGGAACCTTCAACCATCACGACACTCAGGAAGGAGACGGGTTCTGTCTCCTAGAGATAAATGTGTTATGATGTGAAATGCATGAATCAACTCAATAACAAAAGCTAAAGACTGAAGATGCTGGATGAAGCTGCTAAGACAGTGTCATTATCCACAATGAATACAACTTGACTTAACTTATAGAGGAAGAACCCACTACTCCAAAGACAACAAAACACAAAAGCCCTACAGTTTGCAAATTTATTCCAAGATAAATTTTTTTTTGGAAAAGGTCCCGCTGTCTGATGTAAATAAAACTGTGTTTGGTCATAATGACTATTTTCATATTTGAATGAAAAGGGAGGACGCTGCAAGCCTTAAAACACCATCCCAACTGTGAAGTACGGGGATGGCAGCATTATGTTGTGGGGCTGTTGTGCTGTATAGGGGACTGTTGTACTTCACAAAATAGATAGCATCAGGGCAAAAGAACATTATTTGAAAAAAACGAGGCAAAATCTCCAGACATCAGCCAAGAAAATAAAGCTTAGGCACAAATGGCCAATGACTCTAAGAATATGGTCATACTATGATCGGCACTGATGAATGGTGTCATGTTTTGGGTGTTAATATCTGGACCACACTGCTGACAGGCACTTGAGATGGGCATTGTGGCAGTTTAATGGAAGTTAAATAGAGCAAACTTACAGATGAGATAGCAAATAGCAAACAGACAGACAGACAGAAAGACAAGGAAACTGAGCATTATACCCGAAGTAGAGTAACCGGAGAGTGCAGCAGTGAGAGAAGAAAACCAGAGAGCTTAAATCCAGGGGAGAAGGGAGGCGAAAGGCATGGCAAGCAGGTGAGAGTAATCAGGTGGTAATGAGGAACAGCTGAGACCAATGAAGGCAGAGAAGCTGGGGGAGAAACAAAATAATTACCACAGGAGCAGAACGAAAGTTACGACTGTAACTAAGGTTCTATGAATTCCAGATGACTGGCAGAGGCGGTGCTTCAAGCACTGAATGATCATTCTTGCGCATGCGCAGGTCGAGAATTTAATTACAACAGGGTCACATGTGACCTACTGGTGGCTCACGTGAATCTATATAGTCACATGACACCGGGAGGCCAGTCCCGAGGGACCGAGCGCTCTGGCGGTCATTCGGGATTCATAGAACCGTAGTTACAGTTGTAACTTTCTTTCTATTTCATCCCTACTGACCGCCAGAGGCGGTGCTTCAAGCACTGGATGACGCATACCAACAGGGTCCCGAGGGATCCAACGGAGACCCAAGGAACACAGCAACACTACCAACCTCAGCGGCACGCAGAAGGTGGTTGCTCCAGTATGCCCTGCAGGGGATGCGGTGTGGCGACTTTCACTCTGTAAACTCTGGCAAAGGTGCTTGGCACCGTCCAGGAAGCTGCCTCACAAATGGCCTCTACAGACACCCCGGTCATGGCAGCCCATGGGGTGGACAGGCTCCTAGTGGAGTGACATTGCACGCCGCCAGGCAGGGGCCGGTCCTGGAAGGAGTAAGCCACAGAGATCATCTCCACATTCCAATGTGCCATCCGCTGTCTAGAAAGGGCCTGACCCGTCTGAGAGCCAGCATAACAGACAAAGAGACAGTCAGTCTGATGAATGGGTGCCGTAGAGCGGACATATGCCTCGAGCGCTCGGACAGGGCAAAGAGGCTCAGAGGGGGTACCAGGATTAAAACGGGAAAGCCGGAGCGGCAGAACACTGCCAGCCACTGCAGGCACCTTTGGAACAAAGGAAGCATTAGTCCACAGCGTAACACCGAAGCCATCCTGATTCCACCGACAACATGGTTCAGACATAGACAGAGCATGCAATTCCCCCACCCGTTTAGCAGAAACCGTGAAACCAACAGGAAGGCGGTTTTCAGGGAGAGCCACTTGAGGTCCATCCTCGTAACGGGCTTAAAAGGGGGAGACTGAAGGGCAGGAACAGAGTGACATCCCCATGCCGGCCAACAGAACAACCACCAAAGCCGACATGCCAACAGGAAATGGCTGCCACATACACCTTCAAAGTGGAAGGGGATCACCCCAGATCCAGCAACTCCTGAAGGAAGGACAGCAAATGGGAAACAGGACAGCGAACAGGGTCCAGTCCCTTACCACGCCACCAGTCAGCAAAGACCACCCACTTAGCACCATAGGCGGCCCATGTAGATGGTGCCCATGCGCCAGTCATGATCTGTCCCACCCTGCCCCCATAATGGGAGAAGGCAGAGCCTGCACCTGTAGAAGCCAAAGCCAGAGTTTAAGGTGGCCCGGATCGGGGTGGAGAATCCAGCCCCCCATCTGGGAGAGGAGGTCTCTCCTGGAGGGGAGGCACAAGCCGGAGCAGAGCCTGCGCAGCAGAGGAAACCAGTTCCTCCCCGGCCAAAACGGGGCTACCATCAGAAGCTCGTGCCCGTCCTGGAGAACCCTCAGGAGCGTCTGGGAGATCAGGGGGAAAGGCATAGAGAAGGCCACTCGTGCACCAGTGCGTCGCAGCCTAGAGGACTGACACTGTCCATCAGGGAGAACCAGAGGGGACAGTGAACCGCATCTCTAGAGGCAAACAGGTCCACTTCCGCCCTGCCGAAGGTCGCCCAAATGCGATCCACCACCTCTGGGTGAAGCCGGCACTCCCCCGGAAGCGGCACCTGCCGAGACAGAAAGTCCGCAGACACATTCTGCGGACCCGGAAAATAGGCCGCTCTGAGGCTGGCAAGCCGTGGCACCGCCCAGGCCAGGAGCCGGCGGGTCAGGGATTGTAGTCTTAGAGACCTGGATCCCCCTTGGTGATTTATGTGAAAGACAACCGTGGTGTCGTCCGACCGAACCAACACATGTCTCCCCTGCAGCCCTGGAAGGAAAGCACGGAGTGCCAGGAACACAGCCATCAGCTCCAGAACATTGATATGGACCCCGCACTGCCGCTAGGACCACACCCCCTGAGCCGCACGTCTTGCCAGGTCGCTCCCCAACCCTTGGAGGAAGCATCCGTATGGACGACTTCCCTCCGACACTGAAGGGGTCAAGTGGAATACCCGCCATGATGTAGGAGCCATTCCGCCACTGGGACAGAGACTGTAGGCACCAAGGCACAACCCGACGCCGTCAGAGCCTGTGAGTACGCCGGGAGGGGTCCAGACCGACACTGTTCAGCAACATCTGCAGGGGCCGCAATGAAAGAAGCCCCAGAAGCACCACACTGGACGCAGCAGTGAGCATCCCCAGAAGACGCAGGTACTCCAAAAACCGTGGAGCCCTGCC